GGGCCTAGTCAATCAGTCAGCCAGTCAACAGGTGTTTATTTAGTATCCATGTAAGGCACCAGGGATGCAAAAAAAAAAAAAGAAAAAAAAGGCAAAAGACAGCCACTTCAGAAAAAAAAAATCTTTCCTTTACTTGAACCAGAAAAGTAATATTTAAAAAATACCATAGAATTTTAGAGCTAGAAGAGATCTTAAAGACACCTTGTCCAAGTCCCTCATTTACAGATAAGGAAACTGAGGTCCTGAAAAGTGCAGCAAATGAGCAGCAGAGATCCTGTGATCCCCAAACCAGCTGTCCTTCCACTATGTCACACCCATGACATTTCACAACCTGAGTGGTCCAAGGGCAAAATGAGTTTCCTCATCTGAACTCAATGAAGTCTCATCTCCTTTTCAGATCTAAATCTAGATTTAAATTCCAGAATTCCCCTGCAAAATACTCTAAAGTGATACTCTAGAAATTTCCTGCAACCCTCCCCCAACACACAAAAGCCCTGCTTCTCTGGATCCCCAAGAAGAGCAGGAGCTTCGTAGAGAGCTAGAATTATGTGCTAGATGAATGTAATGGTCGCATCCTGAATGAGAGCTGCAGTGTCTTCAGGTAGAGTGGATCTGTGCTGAAGCTGGTGACAGTGATTATGGGGGACAATGGAAGCCATACCACATAGTGACCCGAAAGTCACTTTAGAAAACGGGCTACTGGAGCCCTTGGTCTACCTCTAAATCTATTTAGAATACTGAAGATTAAACAAATAAACAAACAAAAAAGCTTTTCTGTCTGAGCATCTATCAAAACGAACCACTTTTCCACATACTTTAATATTCAAAAACAATTATTAAGAATGCTTTTTCCCCAGGGGAAATGGATAGCATGAATCTGACATCCACAAATGTGTGTGCTCCATGCTAAGCATGGTTTAATGCTAAATTCAATCCAATAAGTATTTATTTCACATCTGATATGTGTCAGGCACAATTCTAGGTGCTAAGGATGCAATGGTCCTTGCTCTCAATGAGTGTAACAGTCCATTGGGAGGAAACTACATGTACCACAGAAAAGCACGAAAGTACAAAAATACATAGCAGTACATACAAAGCAATTTCAGGTAGACAGGCAGAACAGTCACAAATCAGGGAAGGCCTCATGGAAGAAGTGGCGGAGCCATATGAGCCAGAGGTGAGGGAAGAGACCATTCTAGCAACGGAGTCATCCTAGCTCCTTTTCTCCAAGCCAAGCAAAGAAGGAGACTTACTTAATGATGCCACTATACTATCTACCAGTAAAATTAATAAATAGGAGTGGTCTTCAAGTGGTCTTGGCAGACAAACAACACTCTACAATACAATTAAGGGCAGACACATTGGTATTCCTCTAGAACAGATGCCTCAGATTTTCTGCAAGGCAGAAAACTTGGAAAGATAAATTTTTTTCTCCTCCCCTAAAAAAGGAAAAATACTATATATCATCCTCATAGAAAATCAGAAATTCATCCATCTGGATGAATTACTATTTTTATTGTACTCGCTCAGCTATATCTACTGTGTCCTGACCTTCAAAACACCTTAGCCGTAATAAGGTCTGACCTTCTAAATGACAGAAGCTTACTTTCTAAGAGAAATCATCTTCATCTTGGAGATAATTGCCACCCATTACAATTGCCAGGAAGCTTTTCTAGCATCCTGGAAAGCCTGTAATTATCATGAGTGGAGAGGTTAAGAAAAGCTCCAGGCTTTGTTGTCGGTGGCCATCTGAAACAGAAGGACAAGCAGAAAGGCCAAAACACAACAAAGAAATCAAGAAGAGTCATTGTGGATTGCTCGATGACCTTTTTTTCCATCCAGTATTTGTTGTATGGGAATTCTAACGGTGCTGTTCATTCCTTGTCACACACATATGGGCTTTCCAACTCTTTTAATTTTTCTTACACGTCATCCTGGTCAGAAACCCAATAGAACATTGACTTTGTAATCAGTCTAGAAATAGCTCGAAGGAGGCAAACCTATGATATAGTAATGCCCCCTGGTTTAAAGTTAAAAATAAAAAGGCTCACCCCTTCCTTATGAACCCTGGGAAATCTACTGTGGAATTGATCAGGTTTTCTTTTAATGATGAAAATTTTTATAGTATTTATCTAATCCTGTAGCTAAGATTCAAACAGGTTCAAAAGGGTTAATTAGTGCTAGCCTATCAAAATAGCAGACATGGTAGCTGTAATCTTGTTGAATAGCAATGATGTTTTAATTGCAAATGCAGGGCTCATTATTTGTTCCAGAGTAAGCTACAATGCACTACATACTAGGGAAATTGGTCCTGTGACTTGTGCTGAAAAACAAATAAGCATTCGCTACAATTGTGCTGCTGCTGGTTCCTTTCGGTTTGTGGTCCTCTGCTTGAGTCGGCAATGCACAAAATGCACTTAGTCATTTTAAAGTCAAGGGTAAGAAAAGAAAATGGCTACCAAGCACTACAGATTTTTTTTTTTAAGCTTTGCAGGAAAGAGATTTCAAGCTCAAGCTCGGAAAACGGAGCCATGGGGAAATGAATCATGTTCTAATTGCAATCAGCCTGAAAGATTCCTCACAAAATATTGAAACCTACTTCCAAAAGGACATTTAGCCCACACAGGTCTGATTTTTACAGATACTGCCAAGACATGTTAATCGGGCTATGTGAATAAAGCCATTCTTGACTAAGATAGCCCTACATCTCCACGGCCTCCATCCACATCATAGGGAGATATCAGGTTCATCTTCACCTTTCCTTCCCAAGCATCCCAACAAAAACATGTGCTGTGTTCACTTAGGGGGTAGGGCTCTGATTTGGGTTCTTGTCTACTGAAAGCTCCGTGGTTCCCTTTGTGCTAAATAAAGTGATTGTAGGGGGAGGAACCCCAGGCAGAAGCATATTCTGATTCTCGGGATTTCTGAAATGCCTTTCATGTTAGAGGTACTGTGTACCAGTGATAATGAAACTACACCTTTATACACAAACGTTGGCCAGCAGCTCCAAGCAGGTTATAAAGAAAAACCCCACTTTTGACAGTAATGAGTACTGAGATGGAAAAAACCTTTCAGCCTTCAAGCTTTTGGCAAACATGCAGCTTCTGAGGCAAAGGGCATGGGTTTTAGGGTCAAGAAACCGCCTGGAAATCTCAAAACTAGATCATTCTTTTTTGGGAAAAGGAACGAATAGAACTATAAAATTCCTATTTCATATTTGCATCAAAAAAATTTAATGAGCTTCTTTTGCATATTTATTATTGCATTTTTAAACAGGGTTTGGTTGCCAAGGAAACAGGTTCTGGCCCAGTATTAATCTGGAACTAAAATATATCTGAGAAGTTGTGCTCCAAGGAAAGAGCCTGTAATAATTCATCTGAGAAGGTACTAGAATTTAGGTTTTACGTAACCAGAGCTGTTTATTCTCCACTCCTTAGCTACTTTTTATGAAATAATCCATTCCAGTGGGTCACCGAGACTTGGTTTCAGCTGACAGGGCTATCTATATCTTTCCTCTTTCCTCCATTGAAAAATTTACCCTCCACAGCCTAAAAAATTAAAGAAAAACCCCCCACATAATGTACTTATTTCTACACATTTAACAAAACTACCTTTATTGTCCTCTTTTACATAGTACGTTTAAAGCCCGTTTTGAAAAATTTAAATATTTTTCATTTCCCTTATTTAACTTGTTTGCGTATTTCGACATTTTCACCAGAAACCCAATAATTTTCAGATTCAGTTTAAAATGGGATTGAATGAAAAGCCTTTTAAAAAATTCCTTTGTTACCTAAACAGCGCCACACCTTTCCTACGCGATCATTTTCAAGGATGGAATCTTTCTACTTTTACAAGTTAAAAAAATCTGTTTACAAGTTAAAAAAAAATAACAACAACTATGTCAAAAGGAAAGACTGCCCAATTTAAGTTGCTAGGGGGAAAAAAGCCACAATTGTTCTAGTTCACTTTTGTTCTAAAAGCCATACACTAACTCATTCCTATGCTTGCTACATTGGCTTGAGAAATCTATAAAACATGCAAATTTCAACCTACCTGCAATTTCAACCTCCCTCAATGCCGTGCCAGCATGGCAGCACACTCTGCCATCTTTATGTAAAACGATGGAGACCAACTGAACTCCCCGTCTTCTTGCTCACAATTTTTAGATGCAGTTGTCAAAAAATCATACGGAGAACAGCTTGAATGTACTGTGATCACGAGAACTGAATTTATCAATAGGGAAACAGGATGGGTGGGGGGATGTCTTCATCCAAGATTTCTCCGGAGCTGCAACCAAGGAGGTGGGTTTGTTGGATTTTTTTTCCTCGCTCCTCTGAGAGTTGGAAAGCCTGGAGCTGACCACTGCAAAGGCCACTTGTCACATTTGCTGAAAATCAACCTATGGCTACCAGGGCTGAAAATCTAAATTTGAGAACCACAGCCCCATCGACACACAATGTGTACTGCACAAGAGTTAAAAATAGATTTGACGTGCCTCCTACCTGCATAATAAAGATGTAAGTTTCAAATGCTCTAATTTGATATTCACATTAATTAACAATACAACATTCATTATTTAAATGACAGCAAATGCAGGAAGAAAAGGGTGACACCATCTGGAAGCAGTTTTTTGGTTATTTGGGGTTTTTTTGTTTTTGTTTTTTGGGGATTTTGCTTTAAAAGGGGAGGGGGGGGATGAAACTCTATTTTGAATGTGATGACAAGCAAACAGCCAGGAGCAAATGAAAACAGAACTGAAAGGTGATGCTTAAATATCTCAGCCCTCACAGAAGCAAAAACAAGTCTTCCTTACCAGATGATATGGCACACAGAGCATTTACATACTCACATTTGAAATACTAGGCAACGTATAATGAATTCTATACACAGCATGCACACAGCACAAGCAATGTTAATCCTGCCTGCCCTTTTTGGCTGTCAGAGGGAAGATACATACTGCAGCATAGCTCTAGGAAAGGAGGAGGCAAGAGACCGCTCACCTTAAATGCAGTATCTGATTAATGTTGTAAGTGACATTGCATATCGGCTACAGAATCTTGGTTCAACTGGGTAGGAGGGAACAAAGAAAAATGTCATCAACTGGTGATGCAAGATGAGTCCAATCACTAAACACCGCTTGGTAAACTCCAAATTCTGCAACCACACAGTGGTAGGCATTTCAAACCCTTTTCCAAGCGGCTGGATCCTCCTGCTTCTGAGAATAAAACAATCCTTTTGCTAATGAAGAAAGACTATAATATCCTCTTCTTGAAGAAAGAATTCAGACAGTATGTATTTGGTCCTGGATGTGTTTCATAGATTGTGAATGTTAAACCTTAGATTTAAAAAAAAAATGTTTAAGCTAGCATAGGCATTAGAAAAATATTCATTTTAATGAATGGTGGAGCATCTTGACATCGTTCTGCAGAATCCTTAATGGTACTGATAGGACCGTGGAAGGATGGGGTCTCAGTGCATGATCAGCTGTCTCTGTCGGAGCGCTACGCTGCTAACCACGAGCAGTGTAAATATCTCTGCTAAATATGCAGAGGTGGCAGGTACTCTTTTGAACAGAATTTTGTTGAAATAGGAATAAGTTGATTTCATTTAGGAGCACAATAAAACACAATAAAGGAAAATGTATTTTGTGCTGGGTTCTTTTCAATTTACGGCAGGCTATTATAAAAGCGAACCTAAAGGACATTGACCTACATATAACACACAGACTTGCAGCATGCCATAGACTGTCAGAGCAAGGAGAGGCAACAATGATTATTTTTCTCTCCTCCCCCCCACCCAGAAAAAAAAAATAAATTGAAAGCCCCAACTCACAACTGCGAATTCCAGAAGGCTAGGGTACATACTGTACGTGAAGAAACCATGTTATGCTGGGATGCAATCTTTCTTTGTTTTTCTCCGAGGCTTTTCTTAGCTAAGATTAGACAGTGACATCATGGAAGTCAATGCAGGCACCAAGGTGCTAGAGTTTTTAGGGCTGGCATGTTTTTGGAACATTTGGAACGTCTCATCTGTCCAAATACCCAGTTTCATACCACCATTTTTCTCAACATCTCTCCTCCCTACCGCACCTCACCACACCCCCTGGTCTTCAAGCTTAATGGGATCTGGTTAGACTGAGCATAATAAACTGGGACTGTCTTCTATGAAGATTGCAAAAAAGTAAACAGTAGGAAATTAAATTTTGTAAGTAAAATAAAAATTTCAAGGATTTTTCCACATCATACTATTTATCCCTTCCCCTCAAGAAACACACACACACACACACACACACACACACACACACACACACACCCCTCTAAGCTCAAAGGCAAAAAAAAAATGCTTAAAAATTAACAGATACAAAGGACTGCTTATTCAGGGTTTTCAAGACATACCTAACAAGCAAATAGTAGTTCTCTACGTCTCCACTGTCACCATGTCCCCAAAGAGAGCGAAACAGCCCAGCTTACTGGAGATGCTCCCTCAAGACTATGCATGGTCAGATAAAGAACTGAAAGCGCTTAATTTACTATGTTGTAAAAAGAAAGGAGTCTCTTATTTTTAAGGAAATAGAACAGACTCCTCTTCCTCCTCTTTGCTAAGCCACAAAGAAACAATACCCTCCCCCACCCTTAGAACCTGGAAAAGAGCCAGGACATTAAAAAAATTGCTATGAAGCTGATTTTGAATATGTGCTATTTGTTTTGTTTTTGTCTGCTTGCTCCTCTTCCCTTCCCACCCCCACCCCACCCCAAAGAAGACTTTGTTTATCTACTGCACTATTGGATAAGTCTAAGTATGAAAAGGAATGGGCAATTTCTTGAATTGAGAATCACTTTTCTTTAATAGCCTCCGTCTTCTCAAAGGACCAGATAACAACAATCATGTTATCTAAACAATAAAGTTCACTGGAAAAAATCTGAAAAGAAACGTATTAAAAACTCAGGTGCCAGATTTCACAACTAGGTTCCTTCCTTCCTTTTTTTCCCTTCCTTTCTTTCTTTATTTCTCTCTTGTATCCTTTTTCCTTCCCTGAACTTTCAATGATTTTAATAGATGGAAGTAATCAATACTCACTGAGGCCATATACTTTAAAAAGCCAGAAATTAGGTCATCCAAATAGGCATACCTTAACCATGCAGATTTTCTTGCCCAGTGGAGTACATCTCTCACATTCAACTAGTTCTGCAACAAATGAAGCTCTGACAAAAACCACTAGCTACTGGCTTCATGTCCATTGGCAGAACCTTGTTCTCTCTTCCCTCTCCCCCCTTCCCCGCCTCAGAAAGAAAGAGAGAAAGAAAGAAAGAAAAAGAGAGAGAGAGAGAAGCTAGTCAATATCAGAACGAAACCTCTCAGGGCACTGAATTCCTCCATCGTCTTGAAAGGCCGAGAACTATATAGTATATAAGGGAAAATACTTTGGGTACCAAATTAATGGTAAAAAATCTGGTGATAAGCAAAGCATGTTTGGTCACTTCCTCAGTTTTGCCTTCTGCTTTTTATAACTGCTATGGTGGCTAAATTCACATGACTAATTGTAGAAGACCCTGCATCCCTTTCGATGGTACAATAACAACAACTAGAGTAATCCATACCAGGCTCCCCTGAGTAAGTGAATACCATTATTTCCACTTTAAAGAGACAGAGTTTGGCTGAGTGTGGTCAGATCTTCTCTTACCACTCAGCATGCCAGATGCCAAGATGTACAGTCAGTTTGCTAGGCCAAGCTGCTTCCACATCTCCCTATGGAATTCATTATCATGCCCTTTTCAAACAGGGTCTAAAACACATTTGCTGGTTTATTTTGCAATACTCCAAAACTCTCTTTGTGGAAATGTGGAACATTTCTCAAAGACATTTTCTGGATGTGTTAAACAAATTCAGATTATTACTAGAAAAGTTGAGTTGGGTTTTTGCAAAATATCCATTCATGCATTTTTTTTTAAAGAAAAGAAATATGCTTCTCCATTAAGCCAGGGATTCTTAATCTCTTTTGAATCATGGATCCCTTGAGTAATCTTATGAAATCGTGGGATCCCTTCTCAGAATAACATTTTTAAATGAATAACATAAAATACATAGAATTACGTAGGAAACCAATTATATTAAAATACAGCTATCAAAAAAAAAAAACCAAGTCAAACAAGGTCACCTTCCTTAAGCTTTCTAATGACTACAAATAGCAAAGGCTCATCTTCATTTATGAGTTTTTTATTTGTGAGCTCTTTCCACCAGTCTTCTCAATGTATAAGGCTTGCTCATCATCCTTCCTCTTTTTAAAAAAGTGACAGTTTAAAAATCCCTTTCTTTGTAGGTTTTTTAGAATAGGAGTAGTCAGAAGAGTGAGGTCTAAGAATCATGGGATCATAGACTGGAAGGAACCTCAGAGGATATTTAGTCTGACCCCCTCATTTTAGAGATGAGGAAACTGAAGCCCAGAGGGGTTAAGTGATTTGTCTAAGGTCACACAGGTTGTAAGCATCACTGGTAATATTTGAATCCAGGTTCTCTGATCCTGGAGCCAACAGTCTTTCCAGAAGTGACAAACAGGAACTTGGACAACTAGTCATTAGTAAGCCAGAACTAGAATTCAAGGCACACCATTCTATAGGGTTTCACTCATTTTACAGATGAAGAAAAATTAAGACTCATAAAGAAGTGACTTGATCAAGGTCATAAATGCAGTAAGTAGCAGACGTGGGATTTGAACTCAGGTCCGTACTCTGACTTCAAATCCAGCATCCCTTCTGTTTATACTGCACAGCTGTTCTCAAGTCAAAAGAATCTCACATAGTTTTTAGCATCATAGCGATGAGGTTTCTGGAGGTGGTGAAGGCCAGGAGCCTGAGGAAATTTCAGTATGATAGGTCCCATCATCCTTTTGTATTAAAATGTTTACGTGCTCACAGTCTAATTGCTTTGGGCCCTGAGTAAATTGCTTTCAGGCCTGTGCACCCAAGCCAAATTGCATGGCTCAAGTAAAAGCACATAATCTGTGCATTAACCGTGTCTGAAGCAATCTGTAGCAGCAGCAGCAGTAAGATAATACAATCACATTAGCGCGCTGGCCTCCAGGTTGCCGTAGTACCTTCTGTGCGGGCCATTTTAATCAGAGAGGTTTTATAATCAGAGAGGTTTTATACTCCGTGTTTCAGGTCAGCCAATTAGAGCGTCATCCAAGCAGGAGAAGCAGGGCCTTGCTGAGATAAGGATGAAGTGCTAGATTCCTAATGGACGTCCTCACCAGGCCTGTCCCCCTCGAAACCACAATGGGGTTTTTGTTAGAGAAGATTGCTGTGCTTGATAATACCTTTAGGATGAACTGATGTTGCTACCAACTGTATTTAAATAGAATCTTTATTCTAAGGAACTGAAAATATTACCTGTTTCTCAGATAGTCAACCTGGTTACTTGACCTTCAGGTTGAAAATTCACTCCTCCCCTATGGGAGTTGTAGAAAGAGTGTTTTCTCTTCCCTGCATCCCCAGATCCTTATTAAGCTAAAACGGAGAGAGAACTGGATTAATGATTTCCACCATCTCTACAGGCTGGCCCCTTATGAAAGTAGGGACTACTATGGTAAACTGAAAAGAGTCTTTGATCTGGAGTCAGAGAACCCAGGTTCAAATCCTGTTTCTACCCTGTGACCTTGAGAAAGTTATTTACCCTCTCTAAACCTCCGTTTTCTCAGCTGTAAAATGAAGAAGTTAATTAGATAATCTCTAAGGTTCCTTCTGGATCTAAATTTATCATCCTATGAACTTTATTTTATAGAAAGGGAAACTGAGTCATGAAGGCAAATGACCTTGGGCAGGTCAATTAATATAACTGGAATTCAGTTCCCTCAATTGTAAAATGATGGCCCTGAGGTCCCTCCCCTCCAGCTAGGGAGTGGTAATCTTGTGAAACTTGGCCCTGGTCATACACAGTCAGTAGAAATCAACTAAAACGGAGACATCCTGGAGACTGGTATATGGGGGTAGGTCAGGGTGTCTTTCATCTCTACTGATATAGTGTAACTTTATAGATCCTCTGGATGGCTCCCCAAACACCCTGCAAATCTCCCTAATTGGCAATACTAGCTATCCTCTGCCTCTGAACACATCCAGGGTGATCATGTTACCTACTTATCCAGAGTACTCACCAGTAGCCTTAACTGCGCATCAGATTCTGCTTTGCTGCACATCCATTGGAATGAGGGGATTAGAAATTTGAAGGTGAAATATCACAGATGGAGTTGTCAGGAAGCTGGGCCTGCAGAAAGAAGGCCCTGGATGAATTCATTTTGCTGCAAACACATTTATGAAGTGCCTACTACATGGAAGGCACACAAGGCTAGGCTGGGAAGATGTAAAGATGAAAGATGACCCTGTCCCTGCCTTCGGGGAGTTTATCATCTAACACATATGCATAAGGGTGGAAATCCATTTAATTCAACACGTATTGAGCAGTTGTTATGAATACAACACAGTGCTAGATGTTCGGGATTCAAGTCTGACTGCAACAAGCTTACGTTAAGTTATCTCGGGCAAGAGGGGAGCAGCTGCTACATATACAGAGACAAATGTAAAATATACACAAAGCTACACAAAGGGACGAGAAGAAATATTATATTAGAAATAATTATAGTAGAAAAGAATTGCATGCAATGAAAAGGTTAAAATAGAGTGGCATTTGAGAAATTCAAGAAAGGAAGAATCACTTCTAGATGGGGAAGGTATGTATGTAGGGACTCATCTTCCTGAGTTCAGACCTGGCCTCAGACACTAGCTGTGTGACCCTGGGCAAGTCACTTAACCCTATTTGCCTCAGTTTCCTCATCTGTAAAATGAGCTGGATAAGAAAATGGCAAACCACTCTAAGACCTTTGCCAAGAAAACCTCATACGGGTCTTGAAGAGTCGGACATGACTGATAACAACAACAACAATGTATGTGGGGACATTAATCAATCAGCCAACAAACATTTATTAGGTGCCTACTACATGACAGTGCTAGGAGCTTTGTTGTTATTTAGTCACGTCTGATTCTTCATGACCCCATTTGGGGTTTTCTTGGCAATTGGCAAAGGTACCGGAGTGGTTTTCCATTTTCTTCTCCAACTCATTTACAGATGAGGAAACTGAGGCAAACAGGGTTAAGTGACTTGCCCAGGGTCACATAGCTAGGAAGTGTCTGAAGCCAGATTTGAACTCAAGAAGATGAATCTTCCCAATTCCAGGCTTGGCACTCTATGTGCTATGGCACCACATAGCTGCCCTGCCTAGCAGCTAGGGATACAAATACGAAAGTGAGGCTGTCCCTGTCCTCCGGGTGCTTACATTCTGTTAGAATGTCAGGGAGATGAATCAAGAAAGGCTTCACAGAATAAGTGGCACCTGAGGTAAAGGAAACCAGTTAAGGATGCTACTATAGCCATCCCAGCGAGAAGTAATAAAGCTCTGAATGAAGAATGGTAGTAGGAGAAGGTAAAGAGGGAATGGATGGGAGAAATATCAAAGAAGGTAGAATCAACAGGTCTTGAAAGCTAGACTGGTGAAGGAAAGAGAGAATGGGAGCAGAGGCAAAGTTCATACCAAGGTTTCAAGCCCAGGTGACTGCACAGACAGAGCTGCTTACAGGAGAAAGCTTCTCAAGCAAGTTACCCCGTGAGGTTTTCAGTGTTTGTGAAGAAGGAGGGTGATTTGGAGCCAAATACACACACACACACACACACACACACACACACACACACACACACACACACACACGGCACAGGCCAGTCATCCTCCCTTCAAGCACTAGCAAAATCATGATCATTGCCTTCATTATCATCTCTTTTTCTCCTTGTGAAATGATGGCCGAGTGTTTTCAGTGACTATAATTGGTCAGGATTCTGCTTCTCGGTGGTGCCAAGAGCACGTAATGACTGAATGTTTATGAGGAAGAAGAACATCCCTATATTCCAAACTGGACTTTTGTCTACTGTCGTCCAGTTCTGGATCCTGTAAACCAACAGGCTAAGTACAAGAATGGGATTTCCTAGCACCTGAATCAGCAAAAAAAAAAAAAAAATCTCGGCATGGGTGTGGAGCAAGGAAGGGGTGGGTTGGAAAGTGATGGTGGGTAGGTGAATGGGGGCAGGGGGAGGGAGGAGAAACCTTGCTGAAAGAATCTCTCCCCTGAGACCTGTTAGACAAAGCTCTTTCCTCCTCTTTCCTCGCCCTCCCCACCACCCTCCAGGGTAATAATTAGTCCAGAGCTCAGCTCCTTTAGTGGGATGACTCTGATGATAAGATGAGGTCAGTCAATAAATATTTATTAAGTACCTACTATGTGCCAGAAACTGTGCTAAGCACTGGATACAAGGAAAGGCAAAAGACCATCCCTGCCCTCAAGTGGCTCACGGTCCAGCCGCAGAGATGTGAAAACAAGCACATCCAAACTAGCTGTGCACAGGATGAAGTGGAGATGGTCAGCAGAAGGAGATCAGGCAAGTGAATAGAGATGAAGAAGAAAAGCATTCTAGGCGTGGGGGACAGCCAGCTGGTGAAAGTGCCTGGAGTCTGGAGATGGATGAAATATGTTCTTTGAGGAACAGTGAGGATTCCAACAGAGTGGGGGGAGTATGAAAGAAGACTAGAAAGGTATGGGGGGTAGAATAGGAAAGGCTTAATTTTATTTATTTGTTTATTTATTTTGGTGAGGCAATTGGGGTTAAGTGACTTGCCCAGGGTCACACAGCTAGTAAGCATCAAGTGTCTGAGGCCACATTTGAACTCAGGTCCTCCTGACTGCAAGGCCAGAACTCCTAGATGCCCCTTAATTTTTAAAGATAAAGGGAGGAAGGCTTTTCTACAGTTTTTACAATCTTCTGAGAGGACTGTTTTTCTGGGTTCAATCACCCCATTGTCTTCAATACAATGAACACATATCTCTTCCCCATCACAAGAATTAAGAGACCTTAACAAGATGCATAGGCTTTAGCAAGGGCCCAGAGCACATGCCCCTCTCCTTGGGAAATGTTCCCATCCCACTTACAAACTATCACCTTGGCCAATGTCACTGAGCTGCCATGATGCATGAAGAAAGGACCCATGCTTCCCACTCACTGAACTGAGAAGAATAATGAGAGCTTAGCATCACCTGGTTGTAGCAAGTCCAGAGAGCAGCCTTTTGTAGGGTCATCAACCCCCTTTTATCTTTTACTATGTGTGTAGCCTGAGGATGCAGTATACCAACAGTCCACTAACTCCACACTGGCAACTAAGGCTCAGTTGTATCCTTTTTTTTTTTTTTTCTGAGGCAATGGGGTTAAGTGACTTGCCCAGGGTCACAGAGCTACCAAGTGTTGTGTGTCTGAGGCCTCATTTGAACTCAGGTCCTCCTGACTTCAAGGCCAGTGCTCTATCCGCTGTGTCACCTAGCTGCCCCAGTTGTATCCTTTTTATGAAAGGATTTGATTTTCTACTTAATTCTGGATGCGATAGGAGTGGGGGAGGGGTAGCAGGATATCATGGTCAGAGCTGTACTTCTGGGAGATCACTTTGACAGCTGAGGGAAAGATGGACTGGAGTGGGGAGAGATTTGTGGCAGGCAGATCAACTGGCAGATTACTACCATAGTCCAGGGTTGAGGTAATGAGGACCTGCACTAGAGAGGAGAGCAGGAGATGTATGTAATGTATGTTATGAAAATAAAATCAACAGGAAGTGACAACTGATTGATACACGGGGGAGGGGTGTGTGAAAAAGAAGAAGGAGTAGAAGATGGCATGTCAGGTTTTGGATTCGATTCTGGGTGACTGGGAAGATGGTGGTATCCTAAACAGGAAGAGGGAAAAGCTTGGGGAGAAAGATAATGAGTTCAGTTTTCAAAATGTTGAGATAGCCAGACGACATCCAGTTCTGGCTGGACGATAGTCAGTTGGAGACAGGGTACTGGGGCTCAGCAGAGAAGTGAAGACTGGATAAAGAGATCTGAGAATCATCAGCATAGAGATGATCGTTAAATCCATGGAAGCTGAAGATATCACCTAGTGAAATAGTATAGAGGAAGAAGAGATAGCTATGGGACATCGAGGCATGACCTGGATGAAGGTCAAGCCAAAGAGAATACAGAGTGGTCAAACAGATGAGTGGAGAACCAGGATTAAAGTAGCATCATGAAAACCTAGAGAGAAGAGTGCATCCTATCCAGTCTTTTGTCATGGAAGTGTCACAAAGCTATGTTTCCCCTCTCCTGTGCGGACCCTCTGCCCTAGATTGTTTTACTCAATCTTCTTGCCTCTCATTTTCTCTGCTCCTTGCTTTTTATTCACACAGCCTTCCTCTCCTAGAACACCTTCCCCTACCTTTTTGCTTATCCAAATTCTACTCATAGCTTAAAATTGAGTTACAATCCTACTCTTGGAATTTTGGAATCAAAATCGTCATTAGACACTGTGTGTCCAACCCCCTCATTTTGCGGGTGTACTAACTTCTCAATTTCACTGGGAAGCTAAGGCTCACCGATTTACCAAAGTCACATCAGTGTGAAGTGACCCTTCTCCTTTCAAATCCTGTTATAAAAAATTGTCGGTATCGTCCCAACGACTAAGGGGTTAAATTAGTGAACAAGGAAGTTCAGGTAAGTTTGGGTCTATGGACAAAAAGTCTGCTAATTCACCTGATAGCAAAACAAAAATACTGCTGTCTTCCCTCCCCACCCCTCAGTTGGTAGGAAAGGTGGCTATGTTTTTCCTATCAAAGGCTGGTGACCTGAGAACTAGGGAAGACTAGAGAAGGGAGAAGGAAAAATAAAATTTACTAACAAGAGATGAAGAGTAACAAGGCCTATGGAAGAATGCAAGGATGAAGACCCTCTCCTGGAGCTAATTTTTCTATGGTGAGGAGGTCAGGGGATATGCTGATGGCAGTTTAAGAAGGCAAACAACAGGGGCGGGTAGGTGCCACAGTGGGTAGAGCACTGCCTCTGGAGTCAGGAGGACCTGAGTTCAAATCTGCCCTCAGACACATAACACTCACTAGCTGTGTGACCATGAGCAAGTCATTTAATCCCAACTGCCTCCCCCCTCCCCCCCAGAAAAAGAAAAAAAAAGAAGGCAAACAACAGCTAAAGTTGGTCATCTGAGAGGGATGATTGAGTGACATTTAGAGATGGGAAGAGACTGCGATATGACTTAATGAATATAGGGCCCAGTATTAGATACAGGTTCCCACAGTGCGCCACACCCCTGGACCAATCCAGGGGCAACAGTTGTAGCCTCGGGTGCGA